GCGCCACTGCACTCCAGCCTGGGCGACAGAGTGAGACTCCGTCTCAAAAAAAAAAAAATTAAAAATAAATAAATAAATAAATGTCTCTTTTTTAATGTGCTGTGTAAGGGTAGTCTACTCTGAAGCCATCTTGGTAAATTTCCCCAACAGTGTGAAGTTAGAATTCCTTCAGGGTGATGCCAGGTTCTATTTGGAATTTATATATAACCTGCTTGGGTGGAGAAGCCATTGTCTTCGGAAAGCGTGGTGTAGTTGAACTGATAGTTACTGTTGTGACCTGAAGTTCACCATTAAAAGGGATTACCTAAGCAAAATCATGGAATTATTGGTTACAAAAGTGATTGTTGGCACATCCTATGCAATATATCTAAATTGAATAATGGTACCAGATAAAATTATAGATGGGAATGAAGCTTGTGTATCATCCATTATCATGTATAATCAATAAATGATTTAATTCTCTTGAAAAAAAGTGTAATGCAATATTCATAAAAATCCTAACAGAATACTTTTTAACAAAATTCAATAGGTGATTCTAAAATCCACATTGAATAAAATAATTCACAGGAGTGGCCAGGCATGCTAAACAAGAATAGTCATAGGAGCAACTCACTTGTTTAAACATCAAAATCCACACACAAAAAGATGTAGAATTTAAGGCAGAAAGCTATTAGGATAGACATAGAATTGATAAAGAATTGGGTAAACAGTAAAGAAACAATAACGCAGGAATAACTGGGAGTTTCCTTTGTGATAAAGGTGGCACCTCAAATCAGAGAGAAAGGATAGAGTTTTCAATAATGGTTTTGGAACAAATGACTATTCAGAAAAAAATAATGCACCAAAATAAACTGTGAATATATTTAAAAGCTAAAATTCAGGCTAGGCATGGTGAATCAAGCCTATAATCCCAGCACTCTGGGAGGCGGAGGCGGGCTGATCACTTGAGGTCAGGAGTTCGAGACCAGCCTGACCAGCATGGTCATCTCTACTAAAAGTACAAAAATTAGCCAGGCACAGTGGCAGGCACCTGTAATCCCAGCTGCTCGGGAGACTGAGGCAGGAGAACCACTTGAACCCAGGAGGCAGAGGTTGTAGTGAGCCGAGATCACGCCACTGCACTCCAGCCTGAGCGACAGAGTAAGACACTATCTCAAAAAAAAAAAAAAGCTAAAATTTAAAAACCAAAATTATTATAGTATTAGAAGAAAATACAAAACCCTATATACAAGTTAAAGTAAAAAAATTACAGGCAATAATTTTTTTTAGTATATTTAACAGATAGCAAAATATTCAGAATATATAGAGGCTTGCCAATAAACAAAAACTGACAACCTCATGGAAAAATAAGTAAGAAATAATACATGGCTAACAAACATACATAAAAAGATTTTAAAACTCATCAGAGGCCTGGCGCGGTGGCTCATGCCTGTAATCCCAGCACTGTGGGAGGCCGAGGCAGGTGGATCACAAAGTCAGGAGTTCGAGACCAGCCTGGTCAACATAATGAAAACTCGTCTGTACTAAAAAATACAAAGAAAAATTAGCCAGGCGTGGCGGCACGTGCCTGTAGTCCCAGCTACTTGGGAGGCTGAGGCAGGAGAATTGTTTGAATCCGGGAGGCGAAGGTTGTAGTGAGTCAAGATTGCGCCAGTGCACTCCAGCCTGGGTGACAGAGCAAAACTGTCTCAAAAATAAATAAATAAAGTAAAAAA